GTCTTGCTCTGTCACCCAGTCTGGAGTGCAGTGGCGCGATCTTGGCTCACTGCAGCCTCCGCCACCTGGGTTCAAGCAATTCTGCTGCCTCAGCCTCCAGAGTAGCTGGGATTACAGGCATGCGCCACCACACCTGGCTAATTTTTGTATTTTGAGTAGAGTCTGGGTTTTACCATGTTGGCCAGGCTGGTCTTGAACTCCCGACCTCAGGTAATCTGCCTGCCTTGGCCACCCAAAGTGCTGGGATTATAGGCATGAACCACCATGCCCGGCCATGTTCCCTTTTTAAAAATGTGTGTAAGGAAGGGGCTTACTATGCAAGCACTTGGAGGCCAAGGAGCACTGAAAATGAGGAGAGAGTTCAAAAATCAAGTTAGATTCTGGGATACACCAACAAATCTGGACACTACAGTTCTTTTAGAGAAACCTGGGGACGAAAAGTAAGGCTTTTGACCTCAGAAAATGAACATACGGGAAAAATAATGTGTCCTAATGAAATTTCTCTGGTATTCACATGTTATAAAATGTTAGGAAGAGGGAAAATGTATCCTCCTACAAGCCATAAATCAGAATTCTAATAATCTAAAGCTAATTAGAAAAATATTACATGTTAAATATTAAATATTAGAAAAAATTTATGAGGGGAAAAAAATTCAGGACACAGCTGAATTTTTCAGGCTGTTCCAGCACTAAAAAAAATTACAGGAGAGGAATGTCACATATTTTCCTCTTCGTCCCCCTCCAGATTCCATAATATCGAATTCATTACTTTTCATTTGTGCATGTCTTATTTTCCATTCCTTATTTGTCACTAATCCTGTTAGTAAAAGGATTCCCCCACCTAAGTTCATAATTAAGTTTTGGTCTAAAAAGAACTATAAACAGAAGCACCGTTCCTAGATTTCTAATTTTTTTTTATTTTGTCACAGCCAGTTAACTTATTAAATTGGATACTTAAACACATAGTACCATAAACTGGGTGTGGTCCTGTAGCCTCCAGATCTTCAGTTTTGACTTTGGCCCAATTCTCCTAGAAGAACTTAATTTTAATTCGTTTTATTGCCTAACAATCCTATTAATAATCCCGTTGGTTTCAAAGTGTATTCTCAGGTTTCACAAGAGGCTGAAATTTGGTCTTAGGGGTTGTCAGTTAAAAATAACTAATGTAATTTTTGGCCGGGTGCAGTGGCTCATACCTGTAATCCAGCAGATCATGAGGTCAGGAGGTCGAGACCAGCCTCACCAACATAATGAAACTCCGTCTCTACTAAAAATACAAAAATTAGCCGGGCATGGTGGTGGGTGCCTGTAATCCCAGCTACTCAGGAGGCTGAGGCAGGAGAATCCCTTGACCCCGGGAGGTGGAGGTTGCAGTGAGCCAACATCATTCCACTGACTCCAGCCTGGGTGACAGAGGGAGACTCCATCTAAAAAAATACAAAAAGAAAAAAATGTAATTTTTAATTTTATGTTTCAGAGCCTTCTAGAGTATAGTTTTTTAGTGTTAGCTTTCTTTGTGTTTTCTCCCTCCCCTTTCCCCTGATTTTCTTTTCAGACATCTTTTTACAAGGGAAACGGTTCCATGAAGCCTTGGAAAGCATACTTTCACCCCAGGAAACCTTAAAAGAGAGAGATGAAAATCTCCTCAAGTCTGGTTACATCGAAAGTGTCCAGCATATTCTGAAAGATGTCAGTGGAGTGCGAGCTCTTGAAAGTGCTGTTCAACATGAAACCTTAAACTATATAGGTCTGCTGGACTGTGTGGCTGAGTATCAGTAAGTATGAGATTGTTTCAATACAGTGTGGAGGTGAATTAATACAGGGTAGGGCAGATGGTGCCTGTCAAAAGGTGTGTCTGTAGGTACTATAGCCTCTGTCCGTTCAATGTCCAAACCTTTGTGCTAGGTAAAAGAATTGGGTGGGGCAGGTTTGAGAACAGGTACAAGGAGAAGAGCCATGTAACCTTTGTCATCCAGTACTCCAAAATCAAACTATTTGCTGGAGAAAGGTATACTCTTTGTTTTGTTTGAGATGGAGTGTCACTCTGTCACCCAGGCTGGAGTGCAGTGGCGCAATCTCGGCTCACTGCAACCTCTGCCTCCCAGGTTCAAGCGGTTCTCCTGCTCGCCTCCTGAGTAGCTGGGGACTACAGGCATGCCCACCACCCTGGCTGATTTTGTATTTTTAGTACAGAGAACGAGGTTTCATCCGTGTTAGCCAGGGCTGGTCTCGAACTCCAAACCTCGTCGACTCCACTCACCGTTGGTTTCCAAGTGCTGGTTACAGAGTGACCACTGTGCCTGGCCAAGATTTTTCAATATCCCTAACATGCCTAATTTGCCAAGCCTGTCCTTCCCTCCCCCCAAACCAAGGTACGCTGCCATAAGATGCGTTTCATTCTCGCGTTTTCTTTCCTGTTTTCCTAAAGATCGCACCATGATCTGTTGGTTTGAAAAATCCACTCTCTTCCTGTGCTTCCAGGCAGTGCTTGCACATGGATCAGAGCTCTGCACTTACTAAATCTCTTGTACGTCTCTCGCTCGCTTTTGTTTGTTTGTTCTCTCGCTCTCTGCTCGCGGAGTTTTGCCCTCTGTCTGGCCCAGGCGCGCTCGCGTTCTCTTAGCTCGCAACCTCCGCCTCTGCGCTCAAGCTATTAATCCCTCTCGCAGCCTCCATGTAGCTGGGATTACAGGCATGTGCCACCCACCATGCTAATTTTTGTCATTTTTGGTAAAGAGATGGGGTTTCTCTTGTTGGGCCAGGTTTGGTCTCGCACCTCCTGACCTCACGCGCGCCTGCCCTAGGCTCCAAGTGCTAGGATTCCAGGCTGAGCCACCATCGCCCGGTCCCGTGGTTTTTATATCGTAGCTTGTCTTAGCTGTCTTACTGTTTACTCCAGGTCTTCAGAGTCAAGTGTTAAAGGAAAGGGTCCTGCTCCACGACCCGCGCGCGCTCTTCTCTTCGCGCGCGCTTCGTGGGCCAGGCTCGCTCGCGCTCTCGCTCGCTAATCCCGCCTTCTTGGGAGGCGAGGTGGGCGCGCATCCCTGAAGGCTCAGGAGTTGTAGCCAACCTGGCACTGGCAAAACCCAATCTCCACTAAAAATATAAACCTTCGCGTCGCTCGCTCGCCTCGCTTCTCTCGCGACGCGCCTAAGGTAGAGAAATCACTTTTCACCCGGGAGGCAGAAGGTTGCAGTGAACCGAGACTGCGCACACTGTACTCCAGCCTGGCACAGGCAGCTCTGTCTCTCAAAAAAAAAAAAAAAGAAAGAAGAAAAAGCATTCAGGATGAGTCTGCAGTGCAAAGTAAAAGCAGGTTTATTAATAAAGTAAAGTAGTGAAAGTATAACTACTCCATAGACAGAGCAGGGCATTCCTGAAAGTAAGAGGAGGAACACTTCCACCCTAAGTACAATGCTCATACATATAACATAAAAAAAGATCTTGGGGAGATGTGCTCTACTGCAAGGGTTTATGATAAAGGATTAATTTTCTTAATTACTATATTTTATAAGAATCAATATTATCTTTAAAGCAAAATTAGGAATGCCTTGTTCTCCAGATACCAGGGTATCTGGATACTCCCAAGCCTGGGTCTGTTTAGTAAACATTATTAATTTGTTCCCTTAATCTTAAGCATCTAGAGGCTAGGAATGCCTGACTTTCTGGGAATGCAGCCCAGCAAGTCCCAGCCTCATTTTCCTAGCCCTCACTCAAGATGGAGGTACTCTAGTTCGAACGCCTCTGACACCAAGGTGGCTACAACCTGCAGGTACCCCTACTCCAAATAAGGCAAGGGAGCACTAAGAACAAGATAGAAAAATCTGTTCATGTAAACCTTGAAGCTCTAGTTAAAATTTAAGTTTAAAAACTTGTCCAATCCACAGCCCAACACAAATTCGTAAACTTTCTTAAAACATTATCCTTATTGTCACTAATCCTGTTAGTAAAAGGATATCCCCCCACCTAAGTTCATAATTAAGTTTTGGTCTAAAAAAGGAACTATAAACAGAAGCCACCGTTCCTAGATTTGCTAATTATTTTTTATTTTGTCACACAGCACAGTTAAACTTATTAAATTTGGATACATTAACACATTCAGTATAGCCATTAAAACTGGTGTTGGGTCCTGTAGCTCCAGATCTCTTCAGTTTTTGACTTTGCCAATTCTCCATAGAAGAACTTAATTTTAAGTTCGGTTTTATTGCCTACCAATCCTAATTAATATTCCCGTTTGGTTTTCAAGTGTCAATTTCTCAGGTTCCCACAAAGAGGCTGAAATTGTGTCTTAGGGGTTGTCAGTTAAAAATAACTAATGTAATTTTGGCGGTGCAGTGGCTCATACCCTGTAATCCTACCACTCTTGGGAGGCCAGGGCGAAGCAGATCATGGAAGGTCAGAGGTCGAGAACCAGCTCACCAACATAATGAAACTCCGTCTCACTAAAAAATACAAAAAAATTAGCCAGGCATGTGGTGGGTGCCTGTAATCCCAGCTACTCAGGAGGCTGAGGCAGGGAGATCCCCTGACCCCCGGAGGTGGAGGTTGCAGTGAGCCAACATCATTCCACTGTCACTCCAGCCTGGGTGACAGAGGAAGACTCCATCTAAAAAATACCAAAAAAAGAAAAAAATGTAATTTTTAATTTTATGTTTCAGAGCCTTCTAGAGTATAGTTTTTTAGTGTTAGCTTCTTTTGTGTTTTCTCCCTCCCCTTTCCCATGATTTTTCTTTTCAGACATCTTTTTACAAGGAAACGGTCCATGAAGCTTGGGAAAAGCATACTTTCACCCCAGGAAACCTTAAAAAGAGAGAGATGAAAAATCTCCCTCAAGTCTGGTTACATCGAAAGTGTCAGCATATTCTGAAAGATGTCAGTGGAGTGCGAGCTCTTGAAAGGTGCTGTTCAAACATAAAAACTTAAAAAATTCATAGTCTGCTGGACTGTGTGGCTGAGTATCAGTAAGTATGAGAATGTTTTCAATACAGCGTGGAGGTGAATTAAATACAGGGTAGGGCAGATGGTGCCTGTCAAAAAGGTGTGTCTGTAGGTACTATAGCCTCTGTCCGTTCCAATGTCCAAACCTTTGTGCTAGGTAAAAGAATTGGGTGGGGCCAGGTTTGAAAACAGGTACAAGGAGAAGAGCCCATGTAACCTTGTCATCAGTACTCCAAAAATCAAACTATTTGCTGGAGAAAAGGTATACTCTTTTTTTTGTTTGAGATGGAGTGTCATCTCTGTCCACCCAGGCTGGAGTGCAGTGGCGCATCTCGGCTCACTGCAACCTCTGCCCCTCCAGGTTCAAGCGGTTCTCCTGCTCAGCCTCCTGAGTAGCTGGGACTACAGGCATGCACCCACACACCCGGCTGATTTTGTATTTAAGTAAGAGACGAGGTTTCACCGTGTTAGCCAGGCCTGGTCCGAACTCCAAACCTCATAGTCGATCCACCCCACCTTGGTTTTCCAAAGTGGCTGGATTACAGGAGTGAAGCCACTGTGCCTGGCCAAGATTTTCAATATCCCTAACATGACCTAATTTGCCAGCCTGTCCTTCCCTCCCTCAAACCAAGGTACGCTGCCATAAGATGCGATTTCATTCCTGCATTTCTTTTCCTGTTTTCCTAAAGTACGCACCATGATCTGTTGGTTTGAAAATCACTCTCCTCCTGTTTCCAGGCAGTGCTTGACATGGACGAAGCCTGACGCTACTAAATCTTCTTGTAGTTGTCTGTCTTTTGTTTGTTTGTTGTTCTTTTGGACCGGAGTTTTGCTCTGTTGGCCAGGCTGATGCAATGGTGTCGATCTTAGCTCACGGCAACCTCTCTCCCTGGGTTTCAAGCTATTATCTTGCTCAGGCCTCCAATGTAGCTGGGATTAGCAGGCATATTGCCACACAACTGGCTAAATTTGTAAAATTTTAGTAAAATAGAAT